AGTGGGGGGGGGGGCTCACACCTTTTGTTCGTTGATTAGTACTGAATGATAGATAATAATCACATCAAACAATAAGGTAATGGGCCTGTATTGTTTACAATACACATTCGCGCGCTTGCCCTACAAATGATTAGCCCATTCAATGGAGAAGACCTGCAAGTACACTTACCTTTTACATATTCTGTCAACTCACATGATTCCCGGTCTTGTGTAATCACGAATCACATTAATTTCACATTTGTTTCACATGTCAAAAATGTGATTTGATGTCACATTTTTTCACATTTTGCGTTTTCGTGAACATCACATAAATTTCACATTTCGCGGACTGCCAGATGTCTTCACATCTTTTCACATTTTGTAGTCAAACCCATTTCACATAACTTTCACATAAAGACACATTTCTAAAAATGTGACTCAGGTTAACATTGTTTCACATTTTCACTGAGAGTACGTTTCACATAAAAATCACATAGACATCGGCGGAAAAAGAACATACAGGCAGTCACATAATTTCACATAATGGAAGGAGATCCAACATCACATTTAGATAACATCTTTTCACATTTGAAAATGTGATTTTTCTGGACCGTTCACTGCAAATGTGAAAAAAATGTGACGCAAAATAATAACATTTTTTCACATAAAGGTGTCGCGCTTCAGAAATGTTATTTTATATGATTTTCTGTGAACTTATGTGATAAAATGTGATGCTGTTGAACCTCAAAAAAATTCACATTACATCACATTTTTTCACATTTCCTTGAAATTTTGCACGAAATTCACATAATTTTCACATTTATGCACCTGGTAGTGCACAATGGCATCTGCAACAGCCTAAATAATACACAAAACCATTATTCATTTTAGTTAGTTACCCTGTACTTACGAAATCGCCCGTGAAGTTGCCATGACCAAAGCAGAAAGTGCTGAAGTTTCCGTCCATGAGGTACGAAGAGAACTGTTCCGCCCTCTCAGCTGTCCACTGGAACCCCTCCACCAGTTCCTCATACGTCTTGTTCACCAAACTGGGCGGGGCCAGGACTTGGAAAGGATCACTGCACAACAGAGCAAGTCATACATGTTTATAATACGTAATTTCCAACATGTAACCACAAGACGTGGTGCGATGATGGCAAACTCAAGTTTTTCAAACTTATATTACTGCCGCCACCAACACAGGGGACAATACATTACTCATTTTCACCTGAGCAAAGTGAGGAAAGTCGTGTAAAGTGCCTTTCCCAAGGGCACAAGATCGGTGGCAGGTCAGGACTCGAACCCGGGACCTCTAGGTTCAGAGCACTCGAGCACTCTGCCGCTACGCCACACGACACGACACGATACGTTAAGTTTTATAATACGTTAAGTTTTGCTTGTACATTTATTAGAAAGTTCGCAATTGGTAACTTAGTCCATGTTGATTTGATTATATGGATGACATCCTCTTGGAACCCCAAAACTGATGCGAGCGTGCGAATTAAATAAAAAAAAGTTTTGCAAAAAAAAGTTGCTTTCATTGTGAAATCTACGTGGTCATGAAGGTCAACAAAGGACACAACCTTACGGTACGGTATGGTGAATAATCTACTCTTCAAATTTATTTCATGTTCGTCTTTTTCGTCTTTGGCATTCTACGACATTGGTATCGTTTTCAAATGTTTGCTTTTTCAGCTTACGGTATATATTTACTTATTTTGCAACTGTTTTGTGCGATTTACAGTATGGTTGAAAACTTTTTTTGGAAACGGCAGAAAATTCATGCGCGCGCGGATGTCATCCATATAATTAAATTAACATGGCCTTAAGTAGAAGCCGTAAGAAGATGCTGATTAGGGAGACTTACCTTTTATAGTCTTCCACTCCTACGAAGCTGAGTGTTCTGCTGACAGAAGGCCTGCTGTCACAGTTGGCCAGGTTGAATTTCGGATAGTAGAACAAGAAGTCCATACACATCTCCTCGGGTGTACCTAACCCACCCTGTCAGTGGGATGCACACATGTGAAAACACAGCATGAGTGACCTGGAACAGTGATGCTATACAACCTAAACAAGGACTGGTCTACACTGACAGAAACAAAAAACGCTCCAACAGTGTTGCAGTGTTGTGTGAATAGTTGCAGATAACTAGAGATGCTGAAACGGATACTTTTATGTTTACCGAAGGAAAACATTTTGTTATGGGTTCACCACACCACGAAGTGGTGGTGAACCCATATTGCTTTTTCTGATGTTTCTTCTTCTTCTCCTTCTCCTCCTGCCATTTTTTAAATGGATTCAGCTTCTTCATTTTAGAGCCCAAGGTCCTGAAATTTGGTATGGAGGTACAGTGGGCAAATACCCCTAGGCGTTTTTTTAATTATTGTGATACAGGCTTTTAGAATGGTTTTATTTGAGTTTTTTTGGCTGTGTTATAGCAAATGTATTACTGTGTTAGTGTGCCTTGTTTACCACGTTTGGGCATGAGTCATCACAATGGAATGCAGGGCATCAACCAATAGGCATGCAGCTTTCCTCTATTCTTCTTGCTGATTGGCTGTTGGGATTTAACTTGATCAACACCTGCACAGTGCATTTCCACCTGCACAGAGCATTTCTTGCTGATTGGCTGTTGGGATTTAACTTGATTTAACACCTGCACAGAGCATTTCCATACTTGACAGTATGTCTGTATTGAAGTGTTTTGGTAGGTATTTCAAGCTTTCCTGCTCCAGCATCGGAATGCGGGGCATGGACGTTTTTTTTTTTATTTTGAAAATCAACAGTTTGCATTATGCAATTAAAAATCCTAACCAATAAAGTAGGGAATAGCTATCCAACTGTTTGTTTTAGTTGTATTTTACTTCATATTATAGTTATATCAATGTAAATCATTGTTTTCTCTTGTGTTTCTCATTCTTTCCCTGCCATGTCGTAAAATGTGGTGAACCCATCGCTGTATTTGCTCCAAAACAAATATTGGCCTTTCTAGTTTTGGATACGTTTCCTCCTCTTCTTTAGTTTCGAACATTGGCCTCTGGCCTGGTCAATGACCTGATTTGTTGCGGTCTCTCACCATCGTAACTAGTGTTGGGTTACATAATGTTGCAATTTTATAGTAGGAGGGATTTATACTCCTGTCTGACCACATATATGAATGGATTCGAATAAGAATGAACAGA